CTGCCCCGCGTGTTCACATTCAGCCTCCATCCGGCTGCTGCCTGCCCCGCCGCGTGGCTGTGTCCTCTGACTTCGCCAGGAAATTCCTTTCAATCTGTAGCCATCCGAAGGTTTGCCCTCGTGGGACAGCTGTACCGGCTTGTGTCTCTTGCTTTTGAAAGACCAGAGCGTCCAGCGTCTAGATCGGGGCTGAGTACCACCCATCAGGCCGCAGGGGGTCCTGGTCTGTGTGTGTGTTTGGTGCTGGGGGCGGAGCGGCACCCCAGCCCCACTGCCCCGCGTGTTCACATTCAGCCTCCATCCGGCTGCTGCCTGCGTGGCTGTGTCCTCTGACTTCGCCAGGAAATTCCTTTCAATCTGTAGCCATCCGAAGGTTTGCCCTCGTGGGACAGCTGTGGGCTCCCTCGGTTTTCTTCCTTCCCGTGCCTGTGCGCAGTGCTGCCGGCTGCGTTGCGTTCACCATGGGGCGCGAGCGAGCGTACAGGGCACCCGGCTTCCTTCTCCCCTCGCCGGGTGCTAGCTCGGCAGCAACCCAGTCAGGCTCTAACCCGGCCCTGTCTCCCTCCGCAGCCTAGGGGAGAGCCGGCCGCAGGGGAGGCGAGGTTAGTGCAAGAGGTGGCGCGGCTGAAGGCGCAGGTAGAGGCCGGGAAAGCCTGCTTCTTAGAGAAGTACAAGGAGTGCCGCCGGCTGCACAGACAGATCAGGCAGCTCAGGGCCGCGGTGCGGGTAGGTAACGGGCGCAGGGTGCGCGCCCCGCGGGGAGAGAAGCGGCTTCTCCCGAGAGGGAGGGAAGGTGCCGGGCCGGGCTCGGGAGGGGCCGAGTCGCCCGGTCCTTCCGTGTAGACGCCGCCCTTTCTCATTTCTGCTCCGTGAGGAGGAGGAGGTGATGCCGGAGCGGAGGAGCCAGCGGGAGCCGGCGGGGATGGGGAGCCGGGAACCCGTGGGCAGCACCGACGCCGCGTAGCACCCTGGCCGATGTCACTGCCCCAGGGTCCGCTGGCAGCGCGCAGCAGCTTGGGCACCAGCATTCAATAAAAACTCCTGGCACCAAAACCTCACCTAGTAGGGTTAGCTTAAGTGCGTGCTGGAGGTTTGTGCGTGTGTGTGGTGTGGGGAACGCGCCGGGCAAAGGCCTCCGTCCAGCTCCAGGCCCTTTATCCTCGGGGGAACCGCCGGATCCTGTCCTCCTGGCAGGGGCTGCAGCACCAGGCCTGGGGCCGCAGGCTTCCGGAGCGAGGTGTTTGTGCAGAACAGACGGGGTGAACTAGCCTCTGACGGCGGGTGTTAAGGTGTCCCAACTCGGCCTCCCTTCTGTCTGTGGTCCCCGCTCCTCGCAGAAGCCGGGCCTGGGTGACGATGCCGGTCTGTGAGCAGCACCCGCCTGGTCCTGCTGCTTTCTGCCCAGTTCTCTCCCCCACCCTCGGCCCCTAGTAGGTGACACTGATTCCACATTTTATTGTCAGCAGGATGAGAACTTGGACCTGTCCAGGCGCCTAGGAGAGAACAAGGTTCTGAGTGATTCTCTGCAGGGAGAGAAAAATCTGCTGGAAAGAGAAAATGACGTAAGTGTGGAGGGAGTGGGAACCACAGCAGTGGGCGGATAAAATAGGAAGTGGAGGCCGGGGATTTAGCTCAGCGGTGTCGCTGCCGCCTGCCTCGAAAGCCCAAGGGCCCAAGTTCAATCCCTAGTACCCAAAAAAAGGAAGAATAAAGGTCCGTTTCGTGGCGTGAGCAAAGCACCAGTGGAACCTGCTCTCCTGCTCCACTATGAAACCCTCCCTCTGCGCCACCCTGACTGGCACGGCCTGGCATGGCCGTGGTGAAAACACTTCCTGCTTGTAACCTCACAGCTGCTGCACTCGCACCTGGGCCAGGGGGCTCCTGCCGTGCTGCTATGCGTTCCTGCAGGAGCAGAAGTGTGGTCGGAACCAGTCCTGGACCCGGGGCAGGGCCCTAAGAAAGGGCTGTGTGCCCCATCCGCTCGCTCGCTCGCTCACGCGTTCCTCCGTCCGTCACTGCATTCTCCCAACCACACTGGCCACCCTCACTGGCTGACGGGAGAGGATGGCAGCAAGTAAAGTGACTGCTGCAAAAGTCACCCTGATCCCAGCGTCAGAGAACCAGGTGTCCACAGTGTCCCCAGCTCCGCCCATTCTGTAGCCTTTTTGGCTTTTTTTTTTTTGTTTTCCTTACCAGGAATCAAACTCGGGACCCTGTGCCTGTGAGGCAGGCAATGGAACCACAGAGCTAAATCCCGGGCCCGTACTTTTAATAATTCTAAAGTGCACAGTTCAGCCTGACATGATGGTACACACCTGTAATCCCAGCACTTGGGAGACTGAGGCAGGAGGGTTTTCATTGTGTTCAAGGCCAGCCTGAACTGTATAGTGAGACCTTGTCTCAAAAAACACAATCTTTTTTTTTTTTGGCACTGGGGATCGAACTCAGGTCTTTGTGCCTGTGAGGCCGGCAGCAGAACCACTGAGCTAAATCCCCAGCCTGAAAAACTCAATATAGCTCCTGCTACCCTCCTGTGTCCAAACGACATTTGCACACCCACTTAAGCTGGGGTATATTAGAGATTCAAAATGTTTTTGCTTTATTTGGTTTCAGTTTTTTGAGCTAGGGTCTCACTATATAGTAGCTCAGGCAGACCTCAGACTGCTGGTGACCCTCCTGCCTCAGCTTCACGAGTGCTGAGATAGATTACAGGCGTCCACCACCACACCCAGCTAAAGTTCTTTTTTGTGTTATGAACAAAAATGTTTTGGCTTCAGGAATAAAGCACTCAGACCCTTGGACTGTTAGGGTGCTGCTCCTGGTTTTGTGGAAGTACAGGTTCTCGTTTATGGGGAGCCACATTGTAAGGCGCCATCCCCGCCAGTTCCCGGTGGCCCGAAAGTTATTTGCTTTCAACACACCTGTAAACCCTCTGTCTGCCCTCAGCTGTTGAGGAAGGAGAGCTGCAGGTTGCTGAGTTACCAGCGTCTGAACTTTGACTCTCTGCTGCCTCGAGCACCAGCTTGGAATCAGGAAGGCAAGGATCCAAACCCGGGCCTGGTCTTTGGAAACCCGTACTCTGGTGAGAGCGCTTCCCTGCAGCCTCAGGGCCCTCCCCGCATCCCTCTCCCTCTCTTCTCTTCTTTGGCGCTGAGATGCTGATTGTGAGTAGTCTCATCATTAGGCTTGCTGGGCAGGACGCAGTAGAAAGATGGCCAGGGAGCCCTGTTAATTGAGAAATCAATCTGAGTCCGGAAGACGCAGAGCAGCTCCTGCACTTAGGCCGCAGGCGCAGATTGTGTCCTGCAGCTGTGGTGCAGATGCACGAATCAGAGATGCGTCTGTGTGCAGGAGCTCGCTCTGGGCCGGGAAGACCCAAAACTGGCAGCGACGGGTCCGCGGTGGGGTGACGTGTCCCTGTCCGTCAGGGAGCTTTTCCTGCATCTCACAGCCATGCGCCACCTCATGTGCTCCCTTGGCAGCATTAGCAGAAAGAATCTTTCCTTACGAGGCAGGTCACGGAGCCACTGAGCTAAACCCCCGGCCCGAAGAATCTGCACGCATGTGGGGCCCAGGGGTGGGGCCATTGTAGTGTGAAAGTCTGGTTAACACCTTGGCATTCTCCGCCCTGCCAACGACAGCTTCTGCAGGACGAGTCCTAAGAAAGGGAGGACGAAGCCCCTCATGCCGTCCGGCTGAGGAGGGGCCTCCTGGGTCCTGGGCAGGCAGAGGACCCGGACGGAGGCGGGGCCAGGGCCGGCGGGGTCGCAGGGCTCTGCAGCTATCAGGACCCCGGGGCCGCCCGCCCCACAGTACCGCTTGCAGGGAGGACACCCAGCCCCGAGACGCAGCCCTCCCTGGGGGCCTTAGTGGGCTGCATCCCAGGCGTTCACCCCGAGAACCTGGCAGCCCAGAGGGGCTGAAGGTCCTGGTCCTTGGTCTCCCTGAAGTGGTGGCCCCTCTTTCGGCTAAGGGAGAAGCAGTGTTCAGGGCCTGGGAGGGTCGCTCAGCAGTGAGTGCCTGCCCGGGGTGTGCAGGGCCCCGGGTCTGAGCTCCACCACCTATGGAAGAAGAGGGGAAGGAAGTAGGGATTCCAGCGAGACAGGTGCGAAGCCGGGGGTCAGTCCTGCCGCACGCAGCTCTCAGGACGACAGCCCCTGAAGGTGCTCGCTGTTAGGAAAATTTTCTTCTGAGCTCTGTAAATACCACATTAGCCGGTGGGAAGGGCAAAAACAGGAGCTGTAAAACAGCTTCAGTAATACCCGGAGTAATTGCCAGCTGCAGGAAATGGATTTGTTACTATAAAAAAGCAGGGCCAGGATTTAGTTCAGCGCGCACCACACCTGCCTTGCAAGTGCAAGGTCCTCAGTTCAATCTCCCTACCAAAAAAAAAAAAAAAATTATATAAAAACAACCAAACAACAAAAAATGCTAAGAATCCGCCATGTGTGTCACGGATGACGCGGTCTCACTGAATGAGGTCTTTCTCCTCAGGCACCCAGGAGAGGTCCAGCCCCGGCCCAGTGAGGTGCCCGGCACCCTTGCGCGGGCCGCAGGTCCCCAAGACTTTCCGGCCCCTATCAGTGCCCAGGCTTCATGGAGCAGACGTTGGGTGGAAGCAGAGGGTGACCCTGAGCCCCGGCGCCTCTGTGAGTTCTGCGGGGCAGGGAGGGAGGCGCCCCTGGGCGGAGGAGCCTGGAGCACCTCTGAGTGTGCGGCTGCTCATCTGCTGCTACTGGGTTTTATTTTGTTTTTTGTTTTTGGAAATGGAACCCAAGGCCTTGGTGCATCCTCTGCTCTTAAAAAAAAAACATTTTTTAAGCAGGTTCTCACTAAGTCCTGCCCAGACTGTTCTGGAACTTTCAGTCCTGCCTTAGCCTCCCAGAGTGCCCAGGTAGATGCTATGTAGTTCAGACTGACTATGTAGCCCTGGCTGGTCTCGAACTCACAGCGATCCTCCTACCTCAGCCTCCAGAGTGCTGGGATGACAGGCGTGCGCCACTACGCCCAGCTCCAGCTCCTTTTTAAAAATTTATTTCAAGACAGTCTTGTTAAAGTCCCCGAGGGAGCTGACCTTGAATGCGGTGTCTTCCTGCCTCAGCCCTCCCAGTAGCTGGCCTCCTAGGCACCCGCGCGGCTGTCCCACCTGGCACTCGGGACGCAGTGGGAAACCGCGGTGCAGGGCCTGCGCTCCTGACCTCTGCTTCCTGGCAGGAGGAGCGGCAGCAGGCACAGGGCCACTCTAGAATGTGTCTGATTTGCAACAAGACCTTCGCAGAGACAGAGAAGCAGATCTTTGAAGACCACGTGTTCTGCCACTACCTGTAAGTACCCGCCGGGCAGCGCACAGACTCTGCGGCCTAGAGCAGCCCCAGGTGGGCTGAGCGCCGTGTCCGTCCTCAGAGCCCCGCGGTTGTCCTCTGCCCAAGTCAGGCCTAGCGGTGGAGACAGAAGCAGGGTCTCCTCCTCCTCCTCCTCCAGGGAAAAGGCACAGCGCGGCCCTGTGTGCAGCTCCACCACCAAAGGTGTCTCCTTAACTTGCATCTTCCCCACCACGAACAGGCAGCGCTTCCTTCACAGAGCCTTTGTGTGCTCGGCTGTCTCCGCTCTTTGAGCTTCCTTTTTTGTTTTGTTTTGTGTTTTTCTGGTACCAGGGACCAAACTCAGGATCCTGTGCTTGAGACGCAGGCGCAGCACCTCTGAGCCACCTCCCCGGCCTCCTCTGAGCTCTGTGCCCTCGGCTGTCGTTGCTGTCGGTCTTAGTGGTTCACTAGGAGTCATTAGAAATTTAGATGTTCTATTTGGGTGGGGTTGCCGAATACTGAAGCAGCTGTTGTTAATCTGTAACACTAAAAATAAATGACTTTTTCAGGGACTTAGGTGACAGAAGCCTTCAGTGGATGGTTATTTGTTCAGTGGGTGGCGGGTGCGTTGGTTTTTTGAGTCTCACTATATAGTTCAAGTTGAACTCACTATGTAGCCCTGGCTGGCCTCGAACTCAAGGTGACCCTCCTGTCTCAGCCTCCTGAGTGCTGGGATGACAGGCGGGCGTCCCCACACCCGGCTTTACAATCTTTTAAGCGGGTGGATTCTGGGAGTGGTGGCCTGGCAGTGAATCCTCTTCACCTGTCTTAACTGTTCTCCAAAAGTGGGCCGCACTTAGGCTGGGGCACAGTTCAGTGACCTCCACCAGATTCGCCCGCAGAGCTCTGAGGGAGCAGCTCCACTACCGGCCCCTGTGGCACTGGGCCCGGCCACTCCCGCACCATTCGGACCGAGCCCCGCCCCCCACCCTGCCGC